AGCGGGAAGGTTCAAAACAGGAAGTCCGCCTTCCGCTTTCTGTATATAGACTAAAGCAAAAACTTTGTAAGCTAAAGCCTAGAAAGCCGTCAAAAAAGTCTAAATTTCCTTCATTTATAATTACTGAAACCCCCTTGGAAGTAGGAGAAAAGGGGGGAGAACTTTGTTTAACCCCTGCAGGAGAGAGAGTGAAGAAGGATAAGTTTCCACCGTCTCTAACCCGGGAACGGGGTGTCAGAGACAGAAATAGTTGGAGAGGTTCATTGACTGTGAATGGAATACTTTGACAGATAGCTAAAGAAGAGAAATAAACTGATTCCAATGTTGCCTTTTGCATTCTAAAGAAACAAAATATCAGAAAAATATCAGAAAAATGAAAGTAATTTTCCTTTGTTGGACTTGCCTTTAAAAAAAATGGATACAAATAGAAATTGTCTCCCCTAGAGGGAGCTTGTTAAATTGTTGCTGCAGTCTACTTGAGGACTCAACAGCTGTGAGATTAAGATCGTGGGACCAGTCTTTTCTGACCTTGACTAAAGATGAGCTGGGAGGAAGATTGGGTGCTTGCTTTATGCAAGACAAGTGCCTTGCTGGAACAGATGCACGAGAAGATGGATTTGATGAATGAGAAAATGGACTTGATGACTGTTGTGGTTAACAACTGTGGACAAACAGGGAACATTGATATAGAAACCATTCAGGGACCAACTCATGAACTTGTACTGATGGAGAATACAAATGGAGAAACCCGAGGCCCTACGGGAGCATAAGCTGCTGTCACTGAAGATTGAAGTTGGAGTGGGCCAGGGGGAGTCTGGAGTTGAGGAGGTTCCTAACTTTGGAGAGACCTTGAAATATGTTTTTAAATACTTTTTGGATTACACTGATGACTGTGGGGAGTGGGACTGTGGGGAATGGGCGGGTTTGATGAAGGGAGAGGGAGATAATTTTGGGTTGGAACCCCCCAGAGACCTACTCCTCAATGAGAAAGAAAAGAAATTAAGAAAGAGACCAACAAATGACAAGGAAAAGGGCAAGTATAAACAAGAAGAAGATCTGCAGAAGGGACATGGAAGAGACTTAAGGGCCTCGGACATAAGGCTTCCAGGTTGATGGACTAGATGGAATGGACAGTAAGGACTGACACGACCCGAGACCAGGAAGAAGAGACGTTGGATGAAGATTGGAAGAAAATTTTATAAAGAAAAATTTTATTTGGGGAATTAGCCTAAAATCAATGAATATTAGGGAAAATGTTGGAATGAAACTATATGACTCTAGCAGAAATGATATCAGGAGATATGTATATTTGAGTATTAAGATTCAAGCTTTAAGGTATTTTATGGTAAGATAAGGTTAAATAAATTAAGGTAATTTGAATAACAGAATATGGGGAAAGATGGGAAGGATTTGTTGAGCTAATTATTAGGTTAAATTGTTAAGATAAATTATTTAACAAAAATTGAGAAAGATGGAAAGAATTTGCTGAAATAACTAATTAAACTAGAATACAAAAAGGGAGGTGTGAGGAGGTCAATGAAACAAGCAAATGGAAGTTAAAGATATGTAATTTGGGATTTGTGTCTTTTTTTTCTTCCTTTTTATTTTTTTTGTTGTATTGCTGTATTGGTTTTTATGTTTTGCGTTTTTTCTTCTTTTTTATGTATTGTAGTGTTGTTTCTTTTATTTTTTCTTTATTTTCTATTATTCTGACACTATTAATAAATATTTTTTTTTAAAAAAAAACCCAAAGGTCTGACTCAAGGTATGGTCATTTCTCACGTTCCTCATCCCACAAGCTGCTGCTCCCCCCCCCCATGGTTGCTGCTCAGCAGCTGGTATTTAGAGCCCCGCCTTCATTGCTTCATTTGGATTTATCTACAACCTGATCCTGACCTGACAGCTGAAGGTAGAGAACAGCAATATTTAATCATTTTGTTTATGGAGTGAATGTCCATTAAAGGGTGAACAGTGAAAAGAGGACACTTAACACCTGGGTGGGGGATGAACTGGTGGGGGACGGATTTTAAAGTACAGGATTAAGCACAAACATCTTTTGTTCCTAGGGGCGACCTGTCTCCCTCTCCAGAGTGGCTTTCATCATGTAGCCGGGGTGCATCTTCTGCTGTGTGCGTTTTGCATCCCACAAAATATGTTGCAAATTCTTTCCCTTCCCAGACTTTGGGTGGTGAGCTGGAGCATTGTGGAACCTGCAGAAGCGCCTCTCCTGGGTGAGCTCAAAAGAGCCCAGCGTTTGCCAGGCTCCCTTTCAAGCAGCGTGGCGTCTCCTGTCTTGTCAAGTCTCCTGCCAGTTATTTCAAGCCAATCTAATGCTGACGGGCCTGCTCACCCCCACCCCACCCCCACCCCCACCCCGCTCTGTGCTTTCGAAACTGCTAGGAACCCCATTCAAAGGAAGTCACCCACCAAAGAATGATCAGTCTATTTTAAGTCTGGCTCATTGGCTTAGTGCAAAATTATGCATCTTATATCCAGGTAAAGCCATCACAAATTCCCATCTGACGGTTTAGATGATGCCTGTCACAGTTCTGGGTGTCAGAACACAGACACAATGTGGCTATTAAGAAGTTGGAAGGGTGGCGGGGGGGGGGGAGGCAGGAGGCTCCCGCCAGCCTGGGCCTTTAGGGAGAGAGTTCTCAACCAAGGCCCCAATCCCTTTGTCCCCACAGGAGCAGGGGTTCATGCTGGCAGGAAGCTCCGAAAGTGATGCTCTGTGTGTGAAGGTGAAGGGGCCCATCTAGAGGGGGGGCCCTGGTGGCTCTTCTGGGAGCCAAACAAACATCAAGCCCTTTGTGAAGAAAGGTTGAGAGCATATAAAACCTCTTTTGCTATTTCTGAAAAGCATTGAAACACACATATATGCAATGGTTTTTTGTTTTTTATATGCTGCGTGCAATGTTCATCTTCTAAATGGATTTCCTCCCCTTTTCTTTGGTAGAATAAATTTTTGTATCAGCTTTTTCAATGTTAGTTGCTTGGTGACCTTTCAGGTAATAATAATGATAGTAATAATTTATTTTGTGGGTTAATGCAAGGCCCCAATAGGAAGGAAACAATGGGTCTTGCCAACCTGCTTGTGCCCCCCAGGTGCAAAGGCTGCCCAGCTGAACTTGGCCTGCAGGCGGGTTCTCCTGTTCAAAGGCCACGTAAGTGTTCCTAGCCACCTGGCATTTGCCCTGTGTAACATAGCGCTTGTTGTGACATGATGACTCACGGCTGCTGTCCACATTAAAGGGCCTGGTATTTCTTCAAGGGTCAGACACATGGATCAGTGGGGTGCGATTCTGATGTTTTTTCTGCCTTCCCCTGCAGTGCACTACGGTGAGCCTTGTCAGCCTCTGTTCCTTGGCGCTCTCTGCTTGTGGACTTCTTGATGGTGCTGGTTGATCTGCAGATGGACCTGATGGGTCGGTGGCCTGACCTCACAGGAGAATGTACCTTACACCCCGGGCATATCTTGGGAGGCAGCCATGCTTCTGAGCACCAGTTGCTGGAAACCACAGGATGGGAGTGGGAACTGCTCTTGGGCTCGGGGGGTCCTGCTTATGGGATTCCTACCTAGGTGAGCACTGTTGGTCTGATCCAGCAGGATCTTCTTATGTTCTGACAAGTCAGTAGCCCTTGTTGACTCTTTCCAACCGTAGTCCTCCATGGTGTCAGTATCCAACATCTTCCCATTCATCGCCAATATTTGACCATATCTGTAGCTAAGAGAGTACTCTGCTGTGGACCCAAGAAACAGCTCTTTTCTGCAAAAGCCACCAAAAATGTCCCCGAATATGTTGTTTGCCCATCTCCCAGGAAGGGACTCTGAGCTCTGACTACTAACCCCCTCCCCGTACCCCTCCAAAGCAAAGAACAAAGGACTGGTATTCAGAAGAAGGCTGCCTCCAACACGGGAGGTACGACATAGCCCTCACGGCAAGAAGCCACGGAGAGTCTTCTCCTCCATGATAACTCCCATCCTTCCTACCCAACACAGCTAATGGTCTCTTTTTAGAAAGTTAAAAACAGACACCAATTAACAATTGGAAGGATGTACTGCCTGCATGGCAGGCATTTAAAAGTTGGCTTGCTGAATCTCTAGTGGCAGAGAGTTCCACAGGCTCAATTTCTCATTGTTGTCCAATGAGCCTCACCAGCTTGGGGAATGACCAAGGATGCTCTGGCAGATGACCTCAGTGATCAAGCTGGGATCTAAGGCTTCAGGTAATCCCTGAGGTACCCTGGACCTAAGTTGCTTAACTGCAGGCAGGGGAGGGGGGTTGGAGCAAGGGAAAGATACCCAGCCCTCTGATGAAGTATTTATTTGTCACAAACAATAGTGTCATTGACATGTGTGGCACTTTTGGAAACAGAAGGGGAAAGGGCGTTTGTCTCCTGTGAATATTCCATGCAGGTTTGCTGGGGAAAGCAGGACGGCAGCCAAATGCCCAGCCCAAGACAGGCCATCTCCTCCGTGTGAGAAGCTGGCTTGGCAAGCCTGACTGAAGAGCCCCTGCCTGGGCAGATGGGCCTAGCCAGGGGTTTGCAGCCTCCCTGACTGCTGGGGATCAGGGTGAATTGGCCACCACCTGCAGGGCGCTGAGTGAAGCTGGGCACAGAGGACAGCGCTTCTGCCACTTTTTAAAGAGAGGTCTGAGCACTTGGAGTGAAGTCATTGTGTTGTGCTGAGTGCTCTGTTTGGCAAAGCAAAGGAGAGTGGGGGAGGGGAGAAAAGAAAAGAAAAAGAGGATTAAATGGAAATGTTACCTTTACTCTTGTCAAATCCCTAGTAGAAACATTGCTTAATGCCCTTAAAAAAGGCCCATTACCACAGGGCAGCGAGTCAAAGAGCCCAGCTGCCCTCCTGCTCAGTTATCTCGTTCTCGGATAATGGAATGACCCCTCGCCTGCCCAGGCACTGCCGCACTATAATAGCATGAGCCGTGCGAATAAAGCAGTTATTTTTGGAATCCAATTGAAACTGCGCCGGAGCCAGCGTGTGACAGGGGAAGGGTTGAACAAGATGCAATGTTCTAGAGGAAGAAGAGGACAAAATTGAATTTGGGGGAAGGTGCTGCCGGCAGTGAACTGTGGAAGGGAAGAGGCAGCCCAGGCTGGAGTGTGTGGCTGGTGGGATGGAGAGGGGCTGCCGTGGGCTGCTTGCAGGAGGTTTCGAACAAGAGCAGAAAGAAGAGAGGCAGAGGAACAGCACACAGGAAACCAGCAAAGGGTTTCCGACTCCTGATGCTGTCACACTAAGAACCACCAAGAGGATTGTGGCACCTTGGAGGCCAATAAATGGATGCTGGCACCATCCGCTGTCAAGGGTTCAAGCAGGCAAGGACAACCTCAGATGCAAGAAGCAAACTTTCAGCTGGCAGGAATGTGCAGGAGACGACTTCCGGGGTGGCGCCATCGGCAATGGCGGACTCCCTCTGATCTGGAGGGACTAGCTCCACGCGAAACGGGTCTTTTCCGTTACGGCGAAGCGGGGACCCCTTCAAAAATCACAGGCGGATGAAGCCTGTGACCATGGGACTCGGCGGGCACCCTTAGCGCCCCCCCCAACCCGCAAAGGAACCCACTAACGGGCTCCGAAGCGAAGAGGGGGAAGTGGCGCGGTGCTGAGAGTCAACTGCTTCTTCCGTGGAGCGAAGCCGCATAGCCGTTGTCGGAGAGCGCTGCCTTTTTCCTGGGACAATTTGGCTTCTAAAATAATCACCCGTGAGTACTTAAATTTTGGACAATTGGACTTTAAATAAGGACTTGCGAGCAGAAAAGAATTGGACTTAAAAATTTACTTCAATTTGGCACTGAAACGGGAAGGTCTAAACAGGAAGTCAGCCTTCCGTTTCTTTGTAGACAGATTAAAGCAAAGACAAGGTAAACTAGAGCTCAGAAAATCGCTCCTAAAAGATTAACTTTCATCATTTAAAATTGTTGAACCCCCTTTGGAAGCAGGAGAAGAAGGGGGATCTTTTTTGGACTGTTTAAACCTGCAGAAGTGAGTTTAAAGTAAAGTAACTTTCCACCGTCTTGATCCTGGAGCGGGGTGTCAGGACTGACGTCTTTTTGAAGCTCATTGACCAGAGACAAACGTTTTTGACAGTTAGCTAAAAGAAGAGGAACATAGTGATTCCACTGTTCCCTTTCGCACTTTAAAGGAACAAATATTGACAAGATATCTGAAAAAGGAAACTTTGTTGCTAGATTTGTCTTTAAAAGAAAGAACTAATAGAAGTTTTCCCCCTAGAGGGAGACTGTGAAACTGTAACCAATTCCAGGGAGCTTGCAGCTGTTACAGATTACAATCGTGGGAATAGACTTTGACCTTGAAGGACAATGTATTCAGAAGCTCTGTTGTGTGCTCTCTGTAAAACAAATGCCCTACTGGAACAATTAAATGAGAATACGGATTTGATGACTGATGCGATCAGAATTTTTGAACAGGCAGTGGGAAACTATATGGAGCCCACCCAGTAATTAAACCAGGAGTGTGCCCTGACAGAACAGATGAGAGAAGAGGATGTTGCTGAATCTTGGGCGCCAGAGATGGAGGGAGCTGTGGCCCTGCAGGAACATGAGCTTTTGGATTTGACAAATGAACTTGGAAAAAGCCAGATTTGGAAAGACAAAGTTTGGTTTGGTGTGGAAATGGGGGGTTGGATAGACCCCCCTATGCAGGGATGTTTGGACTTTTCAAGTCTGGCAATGGGCCGTGAGGTGTTTGGGGCTGTGGGGGCTCTTAATTTTGGAGGGATTCTGAAACATGTTTTTAAATACCACATGGAGTTTAGTCTGGACTATGGAAAAGGGGCTGATTGGTTGAAAAGGGTCAAAAACATTGCCAAGCTGGAGTTCCCACGAGTGAAAGGAGAATATGAAGAAGAGCCGCGGAAGGGACATGGAAGGGACTTAAGGGCCTCGGATATAAGGTTACCAGGTTAATGCGCTAGATTAATGGGATAAAAAGGACTGACAAAACCTGTGACCAGGAGGAAGGGACGCTGGATGAAGATTGGATTGTTTTTATTGCTTTTTTTTTATTACTAGGATTGTTTTATAAAATTGATGAATGTTAGGAAAATGTTGGAACGAAATTACTTGGCTTTAGCAAAAATGTTTAAAGAATTGGGTAAGAATATTATGGTTATGAGAAGTTGGTAAAAATAAGATTTAAGTTTTAAGCTTTAAGGTTCTTTATAAGATAAGATGAAAACAGATTAAGGTAATGTAATGACAGAATATTATGAAATATGGAAAGGATTTGCTGCGACAATTAACAACTAGGATACAAAAAAAGGGAGGAGGAGGAGGTCAAAGAAAGAAGGTAATGAAAGTTGAGGATTTGAGAATGATGGATTTGTTTTTGTGTGTTTGCTGTGTATTTTTGTTTTTTGAATATGTATTGTTTGATGTGGTTTGTTTTTTTCTCTTTGTTTTTTTTTCTTCTTCTTTTTCTGCTTTGTTCTTTTTTGTAATTCTAAAAAATTCTCAATAAATATCATTTCATTAAAAAAAAAGGAATGTGCAGGAGAAAAGGGTCAGGTGGGAGCTGAATAGCCAGGAGGGGCAGCAGTTGCATCCGGTGACCACGAGAGATTAATGCACACCTTCCTGGGCTCATCTAGACTTCCGCTTCCCCCTGGAGAAAAATGCTCTTTAGCACTGAATCAGAGCAAATGTCAATGGGGTTTTCTGTGACTTGATGGTTGCTCCAATTCAGCACTGAAGAGCAGGTTTTCCCAGGGACAACCAGAAAACAAGCAGAAAATCACTCAGACCCATGGCTTCTAGGCATGGGAGGTATGGATGAGCCCTAACCTTTACAGCAGCAGCTCAGTGGTAATTTACTCAGGCTTTCTTATTATTACATCCTACTGTAGGATCCCTGTTAGGACCCCTGTTTGCACACCCAGACATTATTGAAGGTCATCCCAGGGTATGGTCATGGTGTGGACAGGGCATTTGGCTCTGCCCTCCCCCTCCCTGGGGCCCATCCTTCTGCGTTTGGCTTGGCCTTCTCCAGTCATGCTTTTGCACCTGACACCTGGTCCATCTAGCTTAGTTTGACTGTACTGACTGACAGCAGCTTCCCAGGGTTTTTGACGGGAATCATTCCTAGGTGGGGATGCTGCCACTCAGCAAAGGTGCCCCCCTTATCCCTTGACCTGAAGGGCATAGGAACATGCCCAGCAGTGCTCTGTGGCACCTGGGCAGGTAGGACCTGAAGCAGGAGCCCCATCAGGTGCCTCAAGTGCCTCAGGTGCATCATAGCTCCTCCTGATGCATCAGGTGCCTCATAGCTCCTCCTGGCACCTGGCCAGGCAGAAGGTTGTGTGTTGCTTTGATTTAAAGAATGGGAACAGCTTCCAAGTTTCACAAGGGCAGGCAGGCAGACAGGCATACACTTGGGGACAGGCAGGAGTGGGGAGTGGGCTCCAGGGCCCTGCAAAGCTCCTTGCCCCTCGAAAGGCTGGAAATAGGGGAAGGGTCCCCCGCAAGAGTAATAATAAACATGCAAGTCAATTGCCTTCCTTTGCATAATTTGTTTAGGCTGAATAATTTTTGTGACCTTCCCCAGAGAATACAAGTCACTCTCCTTGCTGCTTTGACCACTGATTTTCGCATCTGAGCCATATTTAACAATGTGCCTAATTCATTGGGGGGGGGGCAGCTGCAGAGAATGGCAAGGATCGGCCCTCCTACAGTGCATCAAGTGCAGCTTGTCCTGCAGGGTAGAGAGAAGCTGCTTCTTTTGAAATTTTCCCTGAAAGGGTAACTTGCCAACCTTCATTTGCTTCATTGCAGGCGTGGGATGAGACGGAAGAGAGTTGCTGCCCTGATTCTCAGGGTGTGAAATAAGGCTCAGAAGAGACCTTGGTGTGGCACAGGCCAAGGGGGCATTGTGCCACCCGGGATGGCAAACTAGGGTGCGTGTGCTGCTTGGGGTGGGAGATTCCGCAGCTGCTGGCCTGTAAGGAGAAGAAGGGAAGATGCTTTGCTGGGAGATGGGACAGCCCTTTGGGGAGGAAGCCAAAAGGAGTGTGAGGAGGCAGCAGCTTGGCAGGCTGTGACTCTGCAAGCCCAGCCAGCCTCTCCTCCGGATTCTCCTCCTACTGTACATCTGCACTGGCGATGAGGGAAGGGCACTCTGTGCATGCTCAGTGTCATTCTCCTTTGTATCACTTCACACATTCAAGGTCAGAGTCTTCACCGATCACAGGGCCACGATTCACGGCTTTGAACCACTGTCTGTTGGGATGCCAGCTTCGTCTGAGGAGTCTCAAAGCTCTGTATTTATCACAAGGGCAGCCACGTCTCCCTCCAAGCAACGTTTTGTCACCTCAACAACCCTCCAAGGTAGGCTGGCCTGAAAAGACTTGCTGAAAGGTCATCCAGTAAGCTTCATGGCTGCCTTGAACCCAGGGAGGGCTCCTGCATCAGTGCTCGAGGCTTTATTCACTCCATTGGACCAGCCGTCACCAGGTTGAAGGATCCTTGTGATCTTTCTGGGATTTGCTTAAGGTGTTTGCAAAAAAGGATGCTAATTCCTTTGAGCCTGTCTGATAATTATGCATTTTCTTGATGTAGCACATGCAACAGAATAAATGTTGCAGATTCAAAGCAATTGTATCCTCGCTTTATGTGTCAAGGATTTCTGACACATATGTGGGTTTTGGGTGGAATTAAGCACCCCCCCCCATTTCATATACTGTGGTGGCTCTTCCGGTGTCAATCATTTCCCTGGAGACAGATGTCAAGCAACCTGTCTACGATGGGGCGAGGATGATGGGTGGGGAAACCAAGCAGCAAGCCCCACCTGCAGGCACCCGACAAAGACACCCTTGTGGATTTTTGCTGAGAGGTCCCATCATGGGAGTATTTGACAAAATCACTGGGCACAGAATGGTGCTCAGCCTTCACTCCTTGCCTCAGCTCCCCCTCCTGCCCTGGAACCTCATCCAAGCCTTTCTTTCTGGAATGGCACAGAGTGTTTGGGGGCTGCCTTCTGAGAGCAGGATGGCGTTGGATCAGACCTTCTTGCAGAGCTAGTGGGGTGGTCAGATGAGGACTGGAAAGACCCCCGTTCACATCCCCAGTTGGCTACGAAGGTCAGAAGGCAACCTGCATCTATTATATGCATTTATTCATATTTATGGCATGCTTCATCCAATAAATCATCTAGGTATCATACCAAAGAGAGAGAGAGAGAGAGAGAGAGAGAGAGAGAGAATAATAACATAATAATAAAGTTATGCCACAATCAACTTAAAGGGGCAACCAGCTGGCATTTTTACTGTAGTCTGATTTCATAGTTTTAACCAATTTTTGGTTTTTTTGTACTGTATTGTTGTAAACCACTTAGAGACTATTGTAGTTTAGTGGTATATAAACTGCAACAACCACAACCACTACCACAACAACAACAACAGAATCAAACTTGCATTCAAACCAGCACATTCAAACTACACACAAGGTACCAGTATGTACCCCACCCCCATAGACCAGGCACCCCAAACTTGGCCCTCCAGCTGTTTTGGGACTATAACTCCCATCATCCCTGACCACTGGTCCTGTTGGCCAGGGATGATGGGAGTTATAGTCCCAAAACAGCTGGCCAAGTTTGGGGATGTCTGCTATAGACAGTGCTTTTTTTCTTTAAAAATGTTTAGGGGTAGTCTCATTTTAACTCAAGAAAATCACCATTTTATAGTTCAAATAGGGAAAAATAAATACAGTAAATGGAAAAAAGTACAAAGATTCACAAAATGTTTAGGGTTATGTGTACCCCTGCGTCCCCAGAAAAAAGCACTGACTATAGACAGTGCGCGGACACGGGTGGCGCTGCGGGGATGCGGGTGGCACTGTGGGTTAAACCACAGAGTCTAGGACTTGCCGATTGGAAGGTTGGCTGTTCGAATCCCCGTGACGGGGTGAGCTCCCATTGCTCGGTCCTTGTTCCTGCCAACCTAGCAGTTCGAAAGCACATCAAAGTGCAAATAGATAAATAGGTACCGCTCCAGCGGGAAGGTAAACGGTGTTTCCGTGTGCTGCTTTGGTTCGCCAGTCATGCTGGCCACATGACCCAGAAGCTGCACGCTGGCTCCCTTGGCCAGTAAAACGAGATGAGCGCCGCAACCCCAGAGTCGGCCACGACTGGACCTAATGGTCAGGGGTCCCTTTACCTTTACCTATAGACAGTGCAGGGACTTCAAAGCAGAGCCCAAAAGGCCTGCAGGGAGAGAAGTCTTCACCTGGTGCCAAAAGTACAACCACACGACAGCCCCCCTAAAAGTTGGAAGCCACGCTGAGTGGCTGGGGCAACCTAGCCAGATGGGTGGGGTATAAATAGAAGCAGCAGCAGCCAGGCTTGCCTGGAGTGAGCATTCCATGCCTGGAAGGCCACCACCCAAGATCCCCCTCCTCCCCTGGCCCCACCCTGAGCTTCCTTGGGAGAGGGCACAGGCAAAAGGGCTCTTCCAATGGCTTTGGGGAACAGGTTAAGTGCATCCAGAAGAAGGTGTGCTGTTAGGTCATCACTCTTTGCTGATGCAGAAGGAGCTCTTTGGCTGCCGCTGGCTGCTGCCTGGTTGGCACTGACCTGCAATGGGGCCTTCTCGGTGGCTGCTCCCCATTTTTGGAATGCCCTCTCTGGTGGGGTGCATCTCTCGCACTCTTTATTGGTTTTGAGGAGGGACTTAAAAGCCTTCCCACTCACACAGGCATTTAGTTTTCATTTGATTTGTAATTGCATTTTTGGGAAATCACTGATGTGTTTGCCAACCTGGGCTTCTTTGGTGGGGGGGGGGGCTGGGTAGGAAAATTAGGGTGGTAGCACTGCACTAAGTTTGTTCTCAGGATGGGCCTGCTGAAATTAATTGAACACAGCTACCTTAAGACCATTACCCCTCCTAGGTCTACTCTGAGTTAGAGCTGAATCGCACCCTTAATTAATTAAGGTTGGGCTTAGGTGGCGTCCAGAGGCAGCTCCTCTGTCGTTCCTGACATGCTCTTGCCAGGGATCGTAACCAGGGAAGGTCAAATTCCTGTGAGACGCACCTTGGTTTTGCCCCCCAGGCTCGTCCCCACCGCAGGCGGGTGGGGAGGGGAATGCAAGTAAAGAGGATATTGGTTGGGGAGACAGAAAATTAAGCCCCCCTCCCAACTCAGCCTGGCTCTTCCAAGAGGGTTTCAAATGCTGCCTGGCTCGGCTCTCTTTTGCAGCAGATTGTAATCTTCCCCTGCCGTATAAGGGTGATTTTTATCAGGATTTGCTTCAGTTCAGCCCGTCGTGGGCAAGCGGGGGGTGCGCGGGGGTGTTCAGCAAACAAAGTCTCCCTGCTTCCTCTGTTGCAGCTCTTCTTTCACGGCGCTGGAGGAGAGAAAGAATCTCCCCCTTCCTCCCTCGCTCTACAGCTATTGTGCATATGCAAATGCAGCCAGCCCGGGCCATCTATATATAGCTAGGATTTTTTTGCTACACTTTGCATTCTCTGCTATTTTTTAAAAGGCAGCCCCCCTCCCCGTCTGCCCCCCCACCTCTGCCCCCCCCTCTCACACACACACACAATCCCCCCCCGCCATATAAATTTCCCCTCCCCCTGCAGCCGGCCCCGTCGCATGCAACATTGATTGTCTGTTATATTACATTTATTAAGGAGTGATAACTTGTAATAATTGGATGTTAAATTAAGGAACTCTTTCCTAGTTATTGCCGTCTCAATTATAATTGTCATTTGCTGGCAGTTATGATGATATATGAGGGTTGTATTTTACTCAGCCGACCATGACCCGGTGAGTAATATTCCCTCCGCTCGAGGGGCAGCGAGGCGCTCGGTGCCTCCCAGCGCCAGAGCTGCCTGGAATATTAAGTTTCGGGCTGGAGAGGAGGAGGAGGAGGAGGCGAGGGACCGGACCCTTCTCGCAGGATGCTGCCGCAGCTGCGCTGGCCTTGCCCGAGGGTCCCACGGACGGCAGCTAGCGCGGGGCGAGGCTGCGAGGCTAGGCGCCCGTGGGGAGAGGAGACGGGCTTGCCGCGCGTTCGAATTCTGCTGCTGCCCCACCGGCAGTGCTGATTGGCAGGAGGTGGCGGAAAGTATATGCGGGAGGGCTTGGTTCACCCTCGCAGTAAACTTTTTGTTAACATTAAAATTTAAAAATATAACAAAAAGGAAATAGTTTCATAGCAGAAAGCGCTGGAGTCGAATTCAACGCCAATTCCTGCAGAGAGAAAAGAAAATGGTGGTTGTTTTCTTACACTCAAGTCAAGAGATACCCCTGCAAACTTAGCAAATGAAGGAAAGAGGGGTTTTGTGTTTGTTTCATGAAAATGTTGTTACGGAAAAATCTAGGTGTGAGCCTGCGGGTCCCTGCGGAATTAAGGAAGGATTCCAGCCACCAACTGCAGCAAATAGCTGTAAACCAAAGTTTACTGCGCAATAGGTTCAAAGAAGAAATTTGAACCCCGAGGATGGGGTGACAAGGACTTTTAAAACTTTCCCACCATATCCCAGAATACAGTTCGCACAGCAACATTGCTACATCACTGACATGTCACAAAAGGGGAGGGGTAGGCAGGGGTTACACTAGTTTAACCTTGGCAAACAGGTCCAGACAAGTCCTTGGTACAAGATTAGCATAAGCAGACATGGCAGGGCAAGACTTGGGTATAAGATTAGCACAGGCAAACACCTCTGAAGTCCCACCACCCAAAGTGCAATAGAACTTCCTTTGAATGTCTGGACCTCTTGGCAAGTTTGGTGATGGGATTAGGCTTTCCTTGGCCAACAATCAGCTCAGCAATTGTCACCTCTGGGAACTTCCTGGAGTCCTTTTTCAAGGGGAAAATAGCTTTGGAATGGAGGAAACTGGCAAAGGAGTTGATTTTATATTATTTTTAAAGCTAGGTAACTTCCCTGAGCTGTCAAGTTGAAAGGATACTGAAATATACTCAGAGTCGCAAAGTGATTTCATGCTCTTTATCCAGCTCATAGTGGTGAGGAGGAATGAATGAAAGTCCCCTCAAAGTATCTGCTTTATATACATTATTTACACAATGGGCTGCACATGATTGGCTAATTCCAGAATTCTACTGTAAGCCAATCAGGTTGTGGATTCGCTTCTATCTGGAGAATGATTGGGTGGTTCCTGCCAACCAATCATACTGCTGCATTGTTCTAGGACCAATCAGACTGCTGCATTCTGAATCCTATTGTTCTAGGAAGGCAAGGGAAGGTCTGGAAGCAGCTCCAGGCTCATAACCTCTTGTGCAGGTGCTGGGTCGGGGCCTGTTTCCGGTAGTGGTAGCCTGCTGAGGGCGTCCGCATGGCCCATCGCCTTCCCAGGGCGGTGAATCAGTGCATACTGGTAGCTGGCAAGGAAAATTGACCACCTGAGGACGCGAGGAGACAGCACTTGGGGGGTCTGCTTTTCGGGGGGCAAACAAGCCAAGCAACGACTTGTGGTCAGTACAAGAAATCATGGAATTTTTTTACTCCCTTCACGATTGCCAGACCCTCCTTGTCGATTTGCGAGTAGTTCCGCTCGGTTGCGTTGAGTGTCTGGGAAAAGTATGCCACCGGTACCTCTCTTCCATCCGGGAGTTGGTGTCCCAGGACAGCGCCGATGCCATAGGGCGAGGCGTCGCATGCTAGCACCACCGGCAGCCTCTCATCGAAGTGTGCCAAGACCGAGTTTGAGACAAGCAAGTCCTTGACTGCCTGGAATGCGGCCTCCTGGCGCTGGCCCCACACCCAAGGGGCCCACTTGTCCAGGAGTCTGTGTAGGGGCTCTGCTACCGCCGCCTTGTGGGGAAGGAAGGAATGGTAAAAGTTCAATAGTCCCAAGAAGGCCTGGAGTTCAGTCTTGCTCTTGGGCTCTGGGGCATCACAAATGGCCCGTACCTTGTCCCCAGTTGGGTGGACCCCTTCTGCGTCCACCATAAATCCCAGAAAGTCCACCTGAGGCACTCCTAGTAGACATTTTTCCCGCTTCACCTTGAGACCTGCCGTCTGGAAACGGTGCAGAACGGTGCGGAGGCGGTCCTCAAACTCCTCTGGTGTGGGCCCGGCAATCAACACATCATCGAAGAAGGGGGTGACGCTAGGAATCCCTTTAAGGAGAGAGTACATTAGATTCTGGAATATGCCTGGTGCCACGATGACACCGAATTGCAGCCGCTTTACCCTGAACGCTCCTCTGTGCATCACAATCATCTGTGTCTCTGCTGTGGCCTCATCTACTGGCAGCTGTTGATATGCTTGGGCCAAGTCCAGCTTGCCAAAAATTTTCAACCCAGCCAGGGTGGCAAGGACATGGCTGACCACTGGCACTGGGTATGCATGGGCCGTGATGGCCTTGTTTATGGTACATTTGTAGTCTGCGCAGATGCGGGCCGAACCATTAGGCTTGACGTGTGTGACGATTGGGGTTTCCCGGGGGCATTAGGTACTGGCTCCAGCACTCCTTGCTCCACGAGCTGGTCCAATTCCTCATCTATACGGGGTTTCAGGGCGAACGGGACCCGGCGGGCCTTGAGCCTGACCGGTCGTACTGCGGGGTCAAGCTGTAGAGCAATGGGGGGGCCGTATACTGTCCCAATTTCCCATCGAAAACCCCCGGAAATTCCTTGCATATGGCGTCCACATCCACTTGTAAGCTAGTGTGGTTCACCCCGGTGACGGCTAGCCCCAGTGGTCCAAACCATGCCAATCCCAGTAAGCTAATGTAGGGGCCCTTGACCACAAGCAAGTCCAGTTGCCGCATCCGCCCTCGGTATTGCACCCTGAAGGTCCCCACCCCCATTGTGGGGACCTTACGTTTCTGGAAGTCCAGGAGGGTGAATGGGGCCGGCCTGAGTTTGGGACCCCCAGTAGGACACAGTTTCCTTAAGGTCCTTGCCGAGATTATGGATAGAGTTGAACCCGTGTCAAGCTTCATGTGCCATGGGGCCCCCTCTATCTGTACCTCTACATAAATTTTCTCTACGTTGGGGTGGGGCAATTGGTATACCTGGAAGTCCATGAGCTCCGTCGAGTTGCCTTGGTGCGTTGGGCCCCGGGACCTGGGGCTCTTGGATTGGTCATCTGATGCCTGGCGTCGGGTGGGCCAAGCCCGACACACCCGGGCGATGTGTCCAGATTTTCTGCACTGCCTGCACTCTGTGTTGCGGAAATGGCAGGTCCTCCTCTCGTGACTTTCCCCGCAGCTTGCGCAGTTCCCTCCTTCTCGTCGAGGCAGGTGTGGTATGTGGGCTGCTTGAGTGCGCTGCTGTACTCAGTGCACCTCCTCCCTATCGGATCCTGAGTCGTCGGTGAGGTCTTCGTGGTGGACCCTCAGTTGGGATGTCAGGCTCGGCCGTGCCTCTTGCGTCGACCTCTCGGCAGCTTCCGTTGCCAGGGCCTCCTCCAGAGTGACCTGGAACGTTAGATCCTTCTTAGCGTAGAGGCGGCGTTGCAGCTTCTCATCCTTCAGGCCACCGACGAGGCGGTCACAAAGCATGTTCTCCAGCTCTGAGAAGTTGCAGAATTGGGCAGCTTGGCGGAGAGAGGTCACAAACCCAGTTATGGTTTCCCCAGGGGCTTGCCACTTTGCATAGAAGGCATTTCGACGAGCCACCACTGAGGCCTGCGGCGAAAAGTGCCCCTTCAGCTGTTCCATTATTGTTTTGTATGGAACAGTAGTGACGTCTTCAGGCGCAAGGAGAGCCCGGGCGATTTCAAACGTCTCCTCTCCGCAGACGCTGAAGAATATCGCCCTCTTCTTGGCGTCTTCTTTGTCGGTGACCCCTTTGGCTTCTAGGAGGAAGGTGAAACGGGAGGCGTACGCTTCCCAGTCTCCAGATGCTGCGTTGAACAGCAAGAAGCTGCTGTCGGTTGCCATTCTGAGTTCCTTGTGTCCCGGAGCTGAAGCCTGGATACATGGTGCGAGGCAGCGGTGCGGCAGGTGGCGGTGCTGCGGTGCTGTGTGTGGCAGTCAGCTCAGCGGGATCCCACCTTCATCGCCAGTGAAATATACTCAGAGTCGCAAAGTGATTTCATGCTCTTTATTCAGCTCATAGTGGTGAGGAGGAATGAATGAAAGTCCCCTCAAAGTATCTGCTTTATATACATTATTTACACAATGGGCAGCACATGATTGGCTAATTCCAGAATTCTACTGTAAGCCAATCAGGTTGTGGATTCGCTTCTATCTGGAGAATGATTGGGTGGTTCCTGCCAACCAATCATACTGCTGCATTGTTCTAGGACCAATCAGACTGCTGCATTCTGAATCCTATTGTTCTAGGACCAATCAGACTGCTGCGTTTTGGATCCTATTGTTCTAGGACCAATCAGACTGCTGCAGTTTGGATCCTATTCAACTCAGTACATAACAGATACATTCAGGCATAATATTGGTAACATTTAACTTTAAAGATGTGCCCCCCCCCCGTAATTTCCATTACAGTTTACCCACCGCTTGACCATCAATAAAAAAAAATCCTCAATGGCGTTTGCAGAAAAGATAAAGCAGTAAAAATCAACTATAAGAAGAGTTAACAATAATCTACAACTTTTGAAAAGTTGAAATAAGTCTAATCTAAAAACATTAAAACTCACATCAACTTTCTGAATGTCTGGATAGACTTTTCTAAGCTAAAATATGCCCAAAAGAGGCCCAGTGAAGGTGCCTGCCAGATAACAGCAGAGTTAAGAGCAGAGTTCTCCTTGCATCCGCAGTACTCATAATTCCAACAAAATAAGAGAAGCCTAAACCCACCAAAGTGAAAAACCTCACAGGATCCACACCTCCGTTAGCCATGGGACCATCCTTTGCAATTGAAATAAAGGCATGTTGCAAAAAATAAAAATAAAATTGGACTCATGTGCTTCATCCTTTAGTGACTTTCAATTTATGGGAAATATTTTCTAGAAGCGCAATTTCCAGACTTTTGAATACCAATAATCTAAGTTATTTAATTGAAGGCTTCATTTTTTAATTAAAAAAACCCATTCTTATTTTTCTGACATAAATGCACCTCTTTTAATGCTTTGCAACATGAAATACCAAAAGAAACATGCAGTCTGCAAACCAGTTCCCAATTAAAATTCAACACATGCAACGGAGATGTAAATGACACAACAGCAGCAGCATGAAATTGAGGCCGTTTGTAGGATTCTTGCGGGTGAAGGAGGAAGTGTTTCCTATGTATGGTCTGCATGCATCCTGGGCGTCTAAGCAGCAAGAACCACTGTAGCCCCACAGAGGGGCAGAGAGGAGCCTCAGAGGCTGTGGAGAAGCTGAATGAGCCGGCAGATGCTCTCCAAGAATTCAGAGAGGGGCCTTCCCAGCCTTACCTGCAAATGCTGCTGGAGACTGATCCTGGGACCTTCTGCAAGTGCTTGATGCCTGAGCTGCAACCCCCAAGACCCAGAGGGGGAGAGGGCTGCGTAGAGAGTGGCCTTCTGCTAAGTCCATCTACAGTCGTACCTTGGAAGTCGAACTGAATCCGTTCCGGAAGTCTGTTCCACTTTCAAAACATTTGGAAACCAAAGTGTGGCTCCTGCGGCCAATCGGAAGCCATGGAAGCCCCACCAGACATTTGGCCTCCAAAAATAGTTCACCAACCGGAACAGTCACTTCCGGGTTTGTGGCATTTGGGAGTCAAAACGTTCGAGAACTAAGCTGTTTGAAAACCAAGGTACGACTGTACTTGGGGTGGCTCTCCAGGACTTCCGGGTTTGTGGCATTTGGGAGTCAAAACGTTCGAGAACTAAGCTGTTTGAAAACCAAGGTACGACTGTACTTGGGGTGGCTCTCCAGGACTAGGGTTGGACAGGAGTCCTTTCCCTGGAGAAGCTGCCAAGGATTGAACCCGAAACCTTCAGCATGCAGAGCAGATGCTCTGCCCCTGAGCTGCAGCCAGTGCTGAGAAGGAAGCCCACAGGTGCCACTCCCCAGGAAGGTGCATCTGGGAGTGCTCAGAGAGCATGTCCTCTCCAGAACTCACAGAACATAGAAATAAAAGCAGCCCGTCCCTCCGTCCTTGGGTGCATCTGCACTTCACATTTAAAGCAGCATCATACCAATTAAAACAGCCATTAAAACTCCCCGCAAAGTATCCTGGGAAGTATCTCTCCTCTCCCAAGCTACAGTTCACAGAGTTTCCTGGGAAGAGAATTGCAGCCCTGTGAGGAGAAGGGGGTCTCTCCGAATAACTCTCAGCAACCTGAACAACCTGCACTTCCCAGGATTCGTTGGGGAAGCCAGTGTGGTGTAGTGGTTAAGAGCAGTAGTCTCGTAATCTGGGGAACCGGGTTCGCATTTGAAGTCTCTCAGCCCCACTCACCTCACAGAGTGTTTGTTGTGGGGGAGGAAGGGAAAGGAGAATGTTAGCCGCTTTGAGACTCGTTAAAGGGAGTGAAAGGCGGGATATCAAATCCAAACTCTTCAAAGTGGCAGGAGTTCCTTTGAATGCAGAGTGCAGTTGGTGCCCTGTGAGGGAGGATACAGAATCCAGCCCTGCAGAACCCAGCTGACTTTCCCCACTTCTGGACACCACGTGCTGCACCAAAATGACCCGCCTCCGCTAATCACAATGGCAATGTTTCTTCCCTCCCAACAGATGGCAGGAAGCTGCCTTCTGGTGGGGCAGAGCTTGCAATGGTCTCCACAGGAAGGATGGAGTGGCAGCAGCTCTCCAGAGTTTCAAGCAGTGAACCCTACCTGGAGATGCTGCCGGTGGAGGGACCTGGGAGGATCTTCTGCATGCTGAGCATCTGCTCTACCATTGCACTCCAGCCCCTCCCATCAGGAACAATAGCCTTCTTGAACACAGGCAAAGAAACTTCCATGGATGGCATTTGGGGACCTCTATTTCGGGGTAGCAAAATGTCCCAAAACAAGGGCACTCCCCATCTGCTTCTCTAGGTTAGTTTTTGTTTGAAAAATTACAGAGGATACCCCCTCAATACTGCCTAGGACAGGGGTTGTCAACCTGGTCCCTACCGCCCACTAGTGGGCGTTTCAGGATTCTAGGTGGGCGGTTGGGGGTTCTACGGCACAAGCTGAATCCTCCTTCCATCGAGCTCTGGTGGGCGGTAAGGAAATTTTACCATCAAGAAAGACGCATTAGCGGGCGGTAGGTATAAAAAGGTTGACTACCCCTGGCCTAGGACAAAAAAGCCCCCAATGGCAAAAACCAATCAATTCACTGAGATGCCCCCCGCCCCCTGCCTGTCTGAGGCAGTTTATCCGTACAAAAAGAAAACTGCAAGTGGCTGAAATTTGGGGATAGCCTTTACTTTGAAGATAACAAAAACCTACCCCCTCCTTGTTTTTGGCTTATTTCTATGCAAAATGTGCACTGCGGCTGTTGAAGATGTTTGGGCAAGATGAGGCATTTTTGTAAAAGGGGCGCATATTGAGAGGGCAATGGAACAGATGCCTGTCAAAGCCAATGCTCCATTTATGAAAATTAATATAGGGTGGTTTACTTTTCAGAAAGTTTTCTCCCTCTTCCCACCCCCACCTTGCAATCATCTCATGTTGTGCCATAAATCTGTTAACTTTGGCAAGGGCCTCAAAACTTTTCTAGGAACAGCTTTTGGGGAAATGGTTCCTTCCAGCCCTCATGCTGCCAAGCTAGTCCCACAATTTATTTAATTCTGTTTGCCAGGGGGCTTTTCCCCATAAAATGAAAACAAAAGTAAAACAAATCTTAAGGCAACGTATAAGGGTTTTTTCTTTCTTTCTATAAACAACAACAGAAACAATAGCAACGAATTCCTAAAGCCAACTCACACCAAGGCAAGAGTGAAGCGAAGAGGGTCCCTCACAAGGAGCTGTGGCTCCTTGTCCATGATCCGTGGACCAGATGGTGCTTTGCAGCCTGAGCAGAGGAAGGTGCTGCCCTCCTCCAAGGTGCTGGCCCTTGTCTCTGTCTTTCTTATCAGTGTTGCCAGGCAGAACTGGCATGTAACGCTGGGTAAAGAAAGGTCTCAGGTTAAGGCATTCCATGTGGTGGGGCAGTGGGGGAATTTGTGTGAGACAGTGTGTAGCAGTTTGAAGAAGAAGAATTGGAACTGTGGACAAGATTGAAGACTTTGTCAAAAATTGCAAGAGCTTGCAAACAGCTGAACTCAAGACTTTTTACACAGCAAGGACTTTGAAGCAAAGAACCCTCTCTGGGCTCAGAGAGCGAGAGAGAATACTACCTGTAATATCTGTAAACAGTGTGTATATGAAGAGTGTGTGTTGGTGTTATCATGGTAAGGATTACTCTGCTAAACGGCTGTTTTCTGCAGGGAGCTTAACTGATTGACCGAGCTTCTGCAGCTCATACACCCAGCACCCAACAAAGGAACCATCTTTGGTTTCTGGATGGGGCATATTTGGGAAATAAACAAGATGAGCTTGAGCTCTTGGTACAGCAAACGAAATATGACATAATAGGCATCACTGAAACCTGGTGGGACAAGTCCCACGATTGGAATGTAATAATGGGGGGATACAATCTATTTCAGAGAAACAGACCAGACAAAGGAGGAGGAGTGGCGTTATATGTCAGGGATGTGTATACCTGTGAAGAGATCCAAGATTTAGAACCTCAAAGCCAAAGTGAGAGCATTTGGGTCAAAATTAAGGGAGAGAAGAATAACAGTGACCTCATTGTGGGAGTTTACTATAGATCCCCAAGCCAAACGGAGGACATAGATGATGCCTTCCTGGAACAGATGGCCAAGCATGCAAAAGGAAGGGAGATAGTAGTAATGGGGGACTTCAATTACCCGGATATTTGTTGGATGTCAAACTCAGCCAAGAGCATAAGGTCAAACAGATTCCTCACTGGCCTTGCAGACAACTTCATTGTCCAGAAAGTGGGAGAAGCAACAAGAGGAACAGCCATTTTAGATCTGGTCCTAACCAATGTTGATGACCTGGTTAGTGGGGTAGAAGTGGAAGGATCATTAGGCGCGAGTGATCATGCTCTTCTGAAGTTTACTATACAGCGGAAAGGAGCAGCCAAGCATACTAGGACTCAATTTCTTGACTTTAAGAAAGCTGACGTCATAAAACTTAGGGAAGTGCTGGGTGAGATCCCATGGACAGTAATACTAAAAGGAAAGGGAGTTCATGATGGCTGGGAGTTTGTTAAGAGGGAGATAGTAAAAGCACAACGTCAGGCAATACCAATGAGACGGAAACATGGAAGGGGCCTAAAGAAGCCAGAGTGGCTGTCTAAAGAACTTTTAACTGAGTTAAGATTAAAAAAGGATGTGTACAAAAAATGGGAAAGGGGGGAACCACCAAAGAGGAATTCAAACAAATAGCCAGCACGTGTAGACACAAAGTCAGAAAAGCTAAAGCACAGAATGAACTCAGGCTTGCTAGAGAGGTTAAAAGCAACAAAAAGGCTTTTATGGGTATGTTTGTAGCAAAAGGAAGAACAAAGAAACAGTGGGGTCACTCAGAGGAGAAGATGGTGAAATGCAAACAGGGGACACAGAAAGGGCTGAACTCCGCAATGCCTTCTTTGCCTCAGTCTTCTCCGATAAAGAAAACAATGCCCGACCTGAAGAATTTGAAGCAAATGATTCAGCAAAGGAAACACAGGCCAGAATAACTAAGGAGATAGTGCAAGAATACTTGGCTAGTTTAGATGTATTCAAGTCTCCAGGGCCAGATGAACTGCATCCAAGAGTATTAAAAGAACTGGCAGATGTGATCTCAGAACCACTGGCAGTCATCTTTGAGAATTCCTGGAGAACAGGCGAAGTCCCGGCAGACTGGAGGAGGGCAAATGTTGTCCCTATTTTCAAAAAGGGAAAAGAGAGGACCCAAATAATT